AATTCAAAGGTTCTGGAGACAGACACATCTGAGCCAAAGGGACTCCAGGAGGGCGTGGAGGCTCATGCCAATGTGCTTTCCAGAGGCTTCTATGCATCATAACTCTGCTGTATTGATCTCCCTGCTATAGGGCAGGGAAGACTAACATCTTTATTTACTCAAAGTTGGAAGATTCGGCGTCCGGACCAATACAACCAAGCCCTCAGACAAGAATTGTGGTATTCATGGTGTGTTCTGCAGTCGTTTTTCCTTCCTGCTCTTAGACCAGCAAGGCACAGGAAACAGCTTACCTCTCCTTCCAGCAGATTCCTGTCATCACCCTCCAGCCAGACTACACACACAATTATGGCGTTGTGATAAGTCCAGCACTCACTGCAGCAGAGGCCGTGTGTCAGGCAGAACCCTGGGCATCTACGAAGGGGGCTTTAGAGCTTTAGAGCCCGGGGCTTTGGCTAGGACCGTGGAGGAGGACAATAATGGCTTTTCAGGATTGGGCACCGTCAGGAAGTAGGAATGATTCTTTGTATATCTTGCTACTCTTATCTGGGTCAGATGCAAGAGGAAGTGTAGTGGGAATTGGTAAAACAGTAGTCGTTTCTCCCCCCCCCTTTCACTCAGACTCGGGAAGCAATGCTAACATTTTACCATTTACACCGTGACCTTGTTCTTGCCTGTGCTTAGAGAAAATTACGAAGTTGACACGTTTCTTGTCTGGCTTCATCATGGTCACAGCATGACCTTGTCTAAGGATGCTGTTCTGTGAGATTGCTTGTGGCAAGCAAGAAGACCCCATGGCCTAGCTCTGAGCTGCAGGCTGGCCCCTGACAGCATCCGACATGCAGCTTTCTCAGGCGAGCTCTCGGCTGCCGTTAGGGACGTCCCCTCTCTCACCTCATTTTAGTGTTGTCATTATGCCTAGGAGCTCTCGTGGGAAAAGAGAAAGCATTGTCAGTCTCCATATTAGAGTTCATCTCCGGATGGAGGACTGATGCTTACCTACTCTGAAGTGAGTGTGTGTGTGTGTGTGTGTGTGTGTGTGTGTGTGTGTGCGCGTGTGTGTGTGTGTGTGTGTGTGTGTGTGTGTGTGTGTGTGTGCATGCGCGCGTGTGTACATGCCAGCGGGCTTTGGGGCTTGACTTCTTCGAGCAACTAGCTATTAGTAGTTTTATCACTTTACAGCTATGTTTCGTGCCCCCTTGAGCGTCTGTGTCCTGAGTCCCATCTGACTCTCCAGGACAGGGATGGGATGTAGCTCAGGAATACAGTAACTGCCTAGGATACGTAAGGCCCGAGTTCAACCCAAGTCCCTTAAAGGTAGGGCCACCAAACCCAAATTGTGGCAGGGTACCCCAAGGCTAGAAGCTAAACAATAATGAATCTTAACCTTGTTCCCCAACTCTTTGCCAAATCCCGTGCCTTTATTTACCTGCAGTCTACAAAGGCCCTCACCCAGACAGGTTCTTCAGAATGTTCCTACTTCATACGCCATTATAGGCTCCTCAGATGACGTGCTACCTAAAGTCCCAGCTGTTGAGTAAACATCCTGAGGGACAATCTGTCTTTTCCACGGGCTCCCCACAACTTCTGCTGAAGTCTTCTATGTCCAACCTAGCAGAGACATCAGGTGACAATCGATACTGTTGCTGTCGTCCCCTGGGAATTAAGGGTGGTGGGTGGGGAAATATGTAGAAGCTATTTGTTTTTAAGGAGTTTTCAAACAAAAAGTCTTTAAACAATTCCTTACCTGAGGGAATGGGGACGGAAGGCAAGTTTCTCTTTACACAGGTTTCCTAACTCATTTCAAAAAGTACCCAGGGCTGAGAGATCAGGAGATGTGGAGTTAGATCCCAGAACCCACAGAGACACCAGGTGTAGTAGCACACACTTGTGATCCCAGTACTGGGGAGGCAGAGACAGGCAGATCTGGGGTGCTCACAGGCCCGTCAGCCTAGTATAACTCCCAGTGAGAGACCCTGCCTCAAAAGGCAAGGGGGACAGCTCCTGAGGCACAATGCCTGAGGATGACCTCTGGCATATGTACACACACACATACACACACACACAGAGAGAGAGAGAGAGAGAGAGAGAGAGAGAGAGAGAGAGAGAGAGACAGACAGACAGACAGACAGACAGACAGACAGACAGACAGACAGAATGTGCAGAAGCAGCAATTCTCCACCTGGAAATGAATAAACTCTGATATGCATAGACCTAGCTTTCGGCAGGTTCCAAGCCCATCCTCGCCTTCTTCCAGTGGTGATTTTCACAGCACATGAATTCTCTCTGGCAAGGTCCACTAAGATAGTCTCTAGAATGTGGATGCAGTCTAGCTGACTCACAGGGGGAAGACTCGGCTGAATATATAGGAATGGTGGTTTCAATCATGGAGTCATTTTGCTTCCAACTGAGTCAGATCCAAATCTCCATTTTCATCTCCAAATCCCCACTGTCACAAGGGGGTGAAACAAAATAGGACAGAGCCCATGTCACTGGCCTGCCTTGCTGCTTTACATACAGCACACATGCTCACTCTTGAGAGATGGAAAGCAAAGGATGGACCTGTGTTATAACATGATGTCCCAAGGGTAACACATTACAACCAGGTGGGAAATGAACACACGATCAGGCATCCTTTTTCTCTACATTTCTGACCCTGGACTTTCATTACCAAAATGAAGTTAATCTTCATTTGTCTTTAAATCCCTCACGTGTAGTTCAAAGCAATTTTCTTCAGATGGGCACCTAAAAATACCAACACTGGTTAGAAAGCCAATATAAAACTACTGCTCACATAGCTTCCAGACTCTCATGCCGTGATTCATTCTGATAAGTCTGGGTGGAGTCTAATGGCTTGGTCATAATGTAAACAAGCTGTGAAGACAAGTCAGATACTGGTGTTCACAAAAGCTGCCGTCTGGACTTTCAAAAGAATGATTTTTTTAGTTTTAATCATGTGTATGTGCACACATGTGGGTGAGGATGCCCATGGAGGCCAAAAGCACCAAATGGCCCTGAAGCTGGAGTTGCGGGCACATGTGAGCTGCCAGACACGGCTGGGAACTGAACCCGGGTCCTCTGAGAAAGCAGTGCGTGCTCTCAGCCACTGAGCCTTCTCTCCAACCACCAGAAAGTTGATTCTTTTACCATAAGATTAAAAGACAAAATAGTCCAATCCACTAGTGAAACATAATGAAAGAAAGCTAAGGCAACGCTAAAAGCAGAGAGGAGGAAGCGGCCCCCAGGAAGAGAACAGGGCTGCTCGGGGCCGTCTGCACAGGGACACCTGAGCCAAATGCCACTGCCGACCCCATGTGTGGTATTTCTATAAAGCTTAATTTTTTTTTCCCCACAGACTTTTTCTGTGTGTGTGTGTGTGGGGGGGGCATTTGGCTCATCTTTCTATGTCTCCACAAGTGTTAAATAGTGAATAAGAATCCCTCCACCTGGGGTATCATTAGGAAAAGTAAGTAGTCTGCTTGGAGTACTGTCCCTGAAATAAAAATTTACCCTCAAGAAAAGTGACTCCGCAAGTGTCCTTCACACTCATGTAAGGAAGATGCCATGGGAACAGGATTCTCGGTTAAAGGTGTGGGCTGTTTGTTCGCTTAAAGTTTGTTTTATGTGCATGAGTGTTTTGCCTGGATGTGTGTATTCGTGCCATGTGCATGTCTGGTACCCAGAGAAGGCAGTGGACTCCCCTGGAATAGAAGCTATGGAGGGTTGTAAGCCATCATGTGGGTGCTGGGAACCAAACCCGGGTCCTCTGCAAGAGCAGTCAATGCTCTTAACAGAGCCATCTCTCCAGCCCTGTTAAAGTTGTTTTAAGCATCAATGAAAACAGAAGAATATTGGATGAAGAGGGTGGCTTCTCATTCTCTAGAAATAGTTATCTGAGTGGCTTGTAGCGACAGGTCTACGCTTAAACCCATTTGACAGAGGACGAAAACAAAGCCTAGGGGAAAAAATCTTATTCCCAAAAAGGTCCTCTATTCCTCTGGTTATCCTGGAAGTCAAAAGCCTGCTTGGCCCAGTCAGGTTCAAGCTCATGAACCCAACTGAAGATGCAGGAACAGGGAGACTTTCAGTCAGTTATCCATAGTCCTGGCCCATAGGGTCCCATACTGACGCCGAGTCATGGACTCAGGGTCACAATTTCCAGTCCACGCACAGACCCCTTGAAGTCACTAGCTAGGAAGAAAAGCCCAGATTTTCAACTGTGGGCTTTCCTCTTGACTACAGGGTAGGACCTGAACTCATGTATGTGAGTAGGAAGTGGGCTGCATCCGGCTTAGAGATTTGAGGGCAGGGTCCCCACCAATCAGGCTTGAAAGGCCAGATCTAGGAACACATTCCTACTCCTGGAAACCAGTGCTGATGGCACCCCAGAGTTGGGAGCCATATCCTTATTTTGGGAACAGCATATTACAACTAATAAGATTCCACACAAGGGGAAGTCTACTGTGAAGTCCAGCCAGCTGGTGCACACACTCTTGCCACTAATTTTCTCAGTGTGCTGTTTCCTCAATAGCAGTCTGTGGCTCCTGTTGCACAAAATGAAGTAGATTACGTCCAGGACATGGGGTCTTACCAGACTCCATGGAGCTGCTGCCTTTCCATAGGCTAATAAGCAGACTCTCCTTCACATTTTCAAAATTCAGTCCCGAATGATTCCCTGCACAGGGGCCTCACCACTGGCTCATGTGTGATGTCAAGGACTTGAAGGTCACATGTGTGACAGTACTTCGTTATGGTTCTCTATGGAGATAATTCCTGTTTTATTCATTTTTCTTGCAAACACTTCTAAAGCGAATAAAATCTCAGGACACTGACAGCATTGCTTAAAGTGCTTGAGTTGGTTACATTAAAAAAAAACAAACAAACTAAGATACAGATTATTTTAAATAGAAACTACAAGCTTTTTTTTTTTTTAAAGCAACAAAATCAAGTGAATGTCACACACATACAGTAACTATTTTGGTTACAGAAATAGGAGCCAAAAATAAGTTAATGTAATACTAGAAAACAGAAATTTAATTAGGCAGAAAAATAGGCAATAATTTTCTCTGGCCCATGCCATTTGCATGGGCTAATCACAATGGTGCTGGCCAGTCCCTTGACCAGGTAACAGCAAACCAGGAGAGAGCATTTAGTGCACGACATTTTAATACACATGAATATACAAAATTGATCAAAATGAAATGTTTAAAAGATAAAATCCATCCATAATAAAGCTACACTCCAGTATCTAAAATAAGCCTTAAGCGCCAGTTAGAACACACTTTCGAGTTAGACATGCCCATGAGATTAAGGGTACCCATGAAAACAAACGCACAGGGACCATTTCTGTCATGTTCCATTTTATGTTAAGTCCAAAATATAACCAGGACATTAATTAAACCACATGGGAATGGCTTCCTATTCAGACCGACACCCTGATTGTAGTATCTCTGGCTTTCTTCCAGCCAGTCTACCTGATGATGGCTTGGAATGGAAAAACACATCAATGGAACGGCACTATACATGTCACCATTTCACTAAATTTTGCCTTGAAACAAAAGATTTTAGCATACTGTACCATAATCTAGATGTTAAACTAGCAAGTAACCAATAAAACAAACATTTCATTTTTTTAAAAAAGTTTTAAAGTCTCTTCAAAGACACTGTAATTTCTTTTTAAATACCCAGCAATTCGAGAATGCAGCAGGCTTCCTCACTCCTGCTGGAGAAAACACGCAAAGCCCCATCTGGGGGGCTGTTGCTGGGTCTTTGTGCTATCGCTGCCGTGACCTTGGAGGTGACCATGGAGTGGTCTCACGTGTCCTACCATCACTGTTGTTCATGCTAGAACCAGGGACGGCAAGTGAGAACATGATTTCTCTAGGACAAGAAAAACGATGGGGGTGGAACAGAGCTGCCTCAGGTTGTTTCCTTGACTGGAAAAGAGGTGAGTAGTTACCAGATGGTCCTATGGTTTAAAAACTGATGGCGTGTGGATAGAGATTCGTATTTGGTCTTCTGCGATCTTTTTCCCTGCACCACAACCAGCTGAAGTTCAGTACAGTAGTCTCCATGCTTATCTCTTTCCGTTGCAAAAACTTCTTCATGAATACTGAATTTGAACTCGCTTTCTCTGTTAAAAGCAATGACTTTGGCTACACTACTGGGGGAAACTTTACACGCTCACCAAAGAAAAAAAGAAAAGTGTGCTGAACTTTATAATAGCACTTTGGGCTTCCAATTGAAATATTTTTTTGTCTAATAAATTAGCTTCAAGAGTTGTTTCAAAGATAATTTTAATAATTTTTGTTCTATGATCAGTTCTAAGTAGATTAGAAACCAGTAACCATTCATTTTCTTAACCTTTGTAACCCACAGTCAAATATATGGGCTATATGTGGTACACACATTTCCGTCCATCAATCACTTTCATTTAGAAAGTGCCTCTCTTTAAAGAACAAAGGTTCACCTCCAAGGTAAGTGATTAATAAATATGCTTCATGGAGGGGGAAAAAAAGACACAATATTTATAAATATGCATTTGCCTCTAACCAAAACAAGGTCCATTTTCGCCATTTGCATAAGACAAATAACATGAAATAACCCTGTTCCGTCTTCTCCCGTGAAGAGTGAGACATCCTCCTTCAAGCATGAACAAATGAAGTGTTGGCATGCTTAAGTTCTGAGCCATAAACAGTTCAAGATATTTCAAAAAGTAAAAAGTCCAGTTTTCACCTAGATAAAGTGCTATCCTCTTCATTCATGTTGCAAGATGGCCACTGATGCTTTTCAATTACAGTTGTGGTTCACATTATGCCAAGAGTTTGCATGTTCATTCGCTGATGTATTAGGTCACAACGTAACACATTCACAGTATATTCTAGTGTATGGAAGTCAACTGACGTCCCCAAGGAACCTAAGATCTATGACTCATAGTATTTGTAGGAAAACTAAGATTAACTCAACAGTAAAACACCAAATCAACCCTTTTAAGAAAAGGTACCAATATTCAAATTCTCTAATAAATACACACATAACGAAAGGGGAAATAGTGAGATGAGTTCTCCCAGGACACTGTCTTGTCAAGCATTCTAGAAATCGGAGCCAGAGAAACAGCTGCCGTCTTGTTCATCCTTTCACCCACCCCTTAACACTTCCTGTGACCCATCTCACACTCCACTAACTCCAGCATTCCCTTCAGGGAGAGGTTTGTTTTAGCCCTGGAACTCACCAGTGCCCCCGTAAACAGACTGAATTTTTTTTTTAAATGAAGCTGTACAATCTGCTGATGGTCATCAAGGCAAACAGAGTTGTTGATTCACCTTCCTAGTCTAGGAAGGGTGTTGGTATTCACTGGCCAGAGAGAGAGAGATGTGCCAGAGGCAGCCAACTGGTATCTCAGCCCTGATGCCATTGACTGCAAAACATCAGCAGGATTGGAAAGCCAGCTTGAAAAGCTTAGCAGTGCCAGATAGGAGGAGAAGACAGCTACAGGACCCAACAGAAGAAAACTGTCACTGAAAAGGAACAGCATCGCATTGTTTTCCTGAAACTCGGCTTTTGGCAGAAAGATAAGGAACTTTTCACTATCCACAAAAACATCTTCCTCCTGGCTTCGCCTGCCCTGAGCTCCACAGTCTTAGCCCCTGGGATTCCACCAGCTAGGTAAGCACAGTTGGACGCAAACACTGGCCATCACCAGCCTGGCTTCACCCTGTTCCAAGGCGGAGGATGACTTCAGCATCGCCACTCACTTTTAAACATTTTCACTTGCACAAACTTAAAGCTATGGCTGCAGCCTTACCGGGAGAAGATCTATCTCCTGCCATCAGAAGAGGCAGGAACGCTAACAATGGGGAGCAACGCTTCCAGGGACACATCAAAGGAATGCATGGAAAAGAGACCCCGGAAACCATTCAGGAAGCTTAACAAACACTCAGAATGGGCTGTGACATTTACAGGAAATGTCACCCTGACTTAGCCAGACAGGACAAGCCGCATAACATTCACCTCAATCTTCAAATTAGCAACAGTTATTCGTCTAAATCTGACTAGAATCTGACTGCCGTTAACTCCACCTCAGACTAGGGCAAACCCAGGAGTAGTGCTGCTTATAAAAACACAAAGGAAGGAAGTTGAACACTGCCGGACCAGTGGGCATCAGTGATAACGTCAGTGGTGGGGGGGGGGGGGGGAGAAAGGTCTGCAGAGAAACAAGGCTGTAGTGCTTTGAGTATTTCCCCCGCTTGAATTAGTCCCACGCTCCGCTAAGTTATTCTCTTGATTGATAGAATAAAATATATCCAGATTCTGAATTTTTTGATATATCTGATGTCAGGCCATAGAATTCTTCAATAGCTTGAGCATCTATTTTCTGCAATGAAGGGAAAAAAAAATAATGTAATTATTTCCTATGACTCCTGGGAACACAGAATCTAAAATGTAAGAAACATGAGTTGGTGTGAAAATGTAATTAGGAACCTTTGAGGGCAAATGGTTCATTCTATAGATGTGGCAGATACAAACTCCTGCAGGAGAAAACCCAACCCTTTCATCTAACCATAACTGTACATAGATGTCCTTGGAAAAACTTAGGAAGTCTGTCTTCCAGATAGCAATCCGAGGGGTCTGTGAATAACCTCAGCTCTTCCAGTTCATCAGAGCTCCTTTCCTTTAGTGCCCATTCCACTAACACAGCTACCCTGGAGGGCTAAAACAGATTCCACCTTTGAGGGTAGAATTTATAATATTCCTTTCCAAAAAAAACCAATACATGAAGTACATGGATGTAATCTAAATATTTCTTTACTACTACTGGAAGGCAGGTCTATTTTTAGGTACCATTAACAACAGTTGCCCACCCCAAATCCCTTCTCCACCCTATGCCCATGGGAGAGCAACCTACATACCTACCTCTACAATGTCGTCATCGAACAACAGCCAGAAGCCATGACTTTTCACAATGGTGATGTAATGTCCACGGTTAGGACCACTGGAAAAGAATGAAGGAGCAAAAGTCACCAGGTAAACAAGTCCTTCTTTATAACCCTCCAATAGTCAATGCAAAAATCTAATGTCACCAAGTATAGCCAGCCCACTGGCAATCGGAGGCTGAGGCAGGAAGTCAAATCCAGCCTAGGCACCACAGAGAGATGCTGTTTCCAAATTAAAAGAACTGCAGACTAGTTTTTGTCCAAGTGCACAGTTTTGGCAGAGTACCTGGGTGCATGGGGAAGGGGTTGCGGCACAGAGGCCCAGTGGGGAAAGCATGCATTCAGATTCGGTTAACACTGGGAATTACTGTACACCTACTACATGCCAGAAAAACAGTGAGCAAAACAAAGTACCTCTCCCTTCTCTTGGGACTTGGTGTTACAGGTTGAGTGTGAATCCCAAAGTCTATGAGTTATTCATTCAATTCTTGGTCCTCCGCCCCCATGAGAGTGCACTTGTTATAGGGATCAGGCCCCTTTCCCCTTTCTTGCACACTTTTCCCACATACTGTCTTCCTCCATGCCCTGATGTAATAAGAAGGCCCAATCTAGATGTAGTTTTAGGACTTGAATTTACCCACTTAAAACAACAACAACAACAACAAAAAAAAACGATGAGCCAAATAACCCATGTTATATAAAACTTACTCGGATGAGTACTTTGCTATAATAGTACAAAAGAGAGAGGTGTTTGGGGTGGGGGTCCCACTGGCTATAAACAAACCAACCACATTAGCACATGGGAGAGCCAAAGCAGGGTGCTGGGAAAGTCATGTTGATACACAGTGATGAAAGGAGAGCTCTTGAAATGTGTGACACTTGAAGGAAACGGGTCGGGGAGAGAAGTCATGTGACTGTATGATGGATGTTTCAGCCGAGTAGAAAGCAAATATACACCAATCAATTCAGAAGTCGGAACAGCTGGGGCCAAGAAACCCCAGGGGAGGACAAAGGGGACAGAGGGTCAAAGGGACAGACCTTCCCTGCCCCACAGCACAGTAGCTAAGATCTCTGTCTTTTTCCTGAGCACACCAGGAAGATGCCAGGGAATTCTTAGCAGAGGCATGATCTAATTTAAGTTTCAGAATATGTTACAATGCATTATTTCATGCTCTGGGATGCACACCTCTATATACTATGCACTATGAAAAGCGATGGGGGAGGGGGAGTGTAACTACATAGTTGCATTTATATTTATATAAAATGGAGACTTCAAACCTAAATCTAGAATTGTTTCTTAATATACATACTACTAAAATTGAAAAGCTGAATTCTTTTCCCCTCATCACTTACCATGTGTGGGGGTAGTACATGCATGAGTGTGGGCACACACATGTGCGTGCATATGTGTGTGTAAGCCAGAGGTTGATGTGGTATCTTCATCTGTTGGGTACTCTGGATAGCTTTCTTGCTTAGGGAATTCCCTGTTTCTAGCTCCCAAACCGTGGGATGATGGGCAGGCTGTCACAATCACCCGGCTTTTTACCTTGTTTCCAGACATCTGAACTCTGGTCCTCGGGCTTGTGAGGCATGCGCTTTATGCGTAAGCCCCCTCCCCACCCCTCATTTACTCTCTTTACACATAAGATGCTGCACACGCTCAGTCCCCATCTCTCCCACCCAACCTCTTCTCTCTCCTGAGCTCCAGGCTGCCGAGTCTCCACCACCCGTCCGCCTGTGCGTGGCCCCTGCATCACTTCTAACTCTGGATGAAAAGGGCCTCTTCTACATTAGTAACCATGGCCCATTCCACCCACTCAACCTCCACAGACAACCCTGCCCTGGCCAGCATCCTGAAACCACCATCCTTCATCCCCTTCTCTTTCCTCTTCCTGCTTCCAACTCAGAGCACCAACCAGCATCCTACATTACCAAGCAGAGGCTAAGTTTTGGTGATGCAGGCATGTTGGGGAATATTATTTCAAGGTGTGTTACTTTCATTTGTTGTGTCTGTTTAACTCTGTGAAGCTGTGTTACTGTGCCTGTGTAAAACACCGGATGGTCTAATAAAGAGCTGAACGACCAACTGCGAGGCAGGAGAAAGGATAGGCGGGGCTGGCAGGCAGAGGGAATTAATAGAAGGAGAAATATGGGAGAAGAGGTAGAAAGAAGTAATCAGAGGAGGAGGAGGAGGACTCCAGGGCCCAGCCACCCGGCTACACAGCAAGCCACAGAGTATGAGTAAGATTTACAGAAGTAAGAGAAAAGGAACAGGCCTAGAGGTAAAAGGTAGACGGGATAATTTAGGTTAAGAAAAGCTGGCAAGAAGCAAGCCGAGCTAAAGCTGGGCATTCATAATTAAGAATAAGCCTCCATGATTATTTGGGAGCTGGGTGGCGGGCCCCCGAAAGAGTAAACAAGTAAAAACCAAAAACACAGGCCACTGTGTGGACTTGCCCATTATCCATCTTTCCCACCAGACTCTAAACCCGGCAAGGGCAAGAACCATGCTGTGTGTTGTATTCACTCTTCTGATTGGTTCATATGTTCAGATCCTGACACAGAACCCAGGAAATAAGAGCTCAGACCCCAAGAAGCCATCCACTCCCTACACGTCAGCCCCATCCTATATAAAGGAATGGACTGCCTCTACAGGGAAATGGAAACAGCTGTTTGTAACATGTGAGAATTGGTACTTACTGTCCCTTGTGGCCAGGGCTGCTGAGACCTTGTATCCCTATTAAAGAAACTGATGATTCCAGAGTCTGGCCTCCCCAGGGATCTGCTAAATGGGTTGATTCCTTGACCTCAATGGTCTTCCTGAGGACAGAATGGGTCCCCAACAGAAAACCAAACTCAAAGTGTTCAGGTACCCTGTGCATCAGTACCTCTACTTCCTCTTTGCCCAGCCTCCCTGGAACTCCCCACTTGTCCACTCCCTCATCCCCTCCCATGATTCCCACCCATCCCCAGGCCCTGCCTGCCCACGATCTCTACTCCACCCCACTGTGGGGTCCCCTGTGCTGGGTTTCGATCAAGAGAGCCCTATGCTCTTTAGATTAAATAACCATTAGAACTGTTGAGTGGAGCACAAAGTTGAATCACAACTATCCAATAAATAAAACTTACTGAGAAGAAAATATCTAGCAACCTGAAGTGGCATACTCAGGACAGAAATGGGGTGTGTCAGATGTGAAGTCACGGTCTGATACGGTCCTCCCCATGGCTGGGTGAAAAGGTGAAGCAGCCCATTCCCAACATGGTGACAGTGTCATCTTAGGGAAGGTGTGTTTACAGTCTCCAAACCAGGCAGAGAGGAAGAGACATTTGCAATATGATGTCCCACAAGATAAAACCCACACCCAAGGCGGACCCTGTGCCCATCCTGAGAGAGAACGTGAACCCACTTATCTACCCTAGCCAGATGAAGAATGGATAGAAAACAGGTAAATTTTCAATGCACTTTCCCATGATTATACCAAATATGAATTTTTTAAAAATGTGCCAAGAACATTCAGTGAAGCCCTTGCCTTCTTCATATCTAGGGGCTTCCTTTCTTTTTCTCATGTAAATCTTACTATAGACTGCGAGGAAATGGAGCCAGGAAGGTGCTCAGCAGGTGAAGACATTTGCTGCCAAACCTGACGACCTGAGTTCAATTCCCTAGGATACACTTGGTAGAAGGAAAAAACCAACTCCCACAGGCTGACCT